AAATAAAAAATTGTTAAAATTTTGTATAATGACTCTAAATATATAACAAATTGTTTAACTTTTATTAAAATGCATTATTAAGGCAAAAAATAAGTATTTAAAATTTACCAATTACTACCAAAATGGCGATTTTTTGCCGCGCGAAAGGTGGTCAATTTTTCGATAACGTTTACATTAAAACATTGAGTAATGTCAAACCTGATTGACATTCAAGGGATGGTGCTGTTGCCCCTGGTTATAAAAATGTAAGTACGTATAAAACTTAATATGGAAATTTGCTTATAAAATGGTTTATTTTTCCTCGTTGCCAATAACTGGGTACCTGCCAACTATTGGGTGTTTTACCCTATGTATTAATTATATAATATATTAAGTTATAAGTAGTTATATTATATAATTATATATTATAATATATATCAGTGGCGGATTGGGGATTTTGGGTATACCAATATCTCAGTTATTAGACATGGGACCCACACCAAATTTATAATAGTTTATTATGACATTAAATAGACAAGTTCGGCGCAAACAGAATTTAAATTGAAGTTTGCGAAAAAAAGTTAGTTTTTTGTGTCGCCTCACCTGGCTTCTGGCCCCCCCCATTTGAGATAATTCAAATTAAAGTTGTGCAATTTATACTTCACTATAATTTATCGGCAAATTTAAAATTTTATTTGAAAAATCCAAATATTACAGATTTTATACCATATTAAATATTTTTTTATTATAATAAAATAAATAATAAAAATTTAAAATCGTATAAAATCTGTAATATTTATATTTTTTAAATAAAATTTTAAATTTGTCGATAAATTATAGTGGAGTATAAATTGCACCACTTTAATTTGAATTATCCCAAATGGGGGGGCCAGAAGCCAGGTAAGGCGACACAAAAAACTAACTTTTTTTCGCAAACTTTAATTTAAATTCTGTTTGCGCAGAACTTGTCTATTTAATGTCATTATAAACTATTATAAATTTGGAGTGGGTCCCACGTCTAATAAGTGAGATATTGGTATACCCATATTGGTATACCCAAAATCCCCAATCCGCCACATATATATATATATTATTATAATTATATATATTATAGTAATATATATAATTACATAATATATATTGGTTTAAAAGGTCACAATTATATGTTATAGGTACATTAATAATTAATATATGTATATTATATATTAATTAATTAATTAGTTAACCTTAAGGTTATAATTGTAATGTATAACCTATAAATGAGGAGCAATCAACCAAAACCAGATAAATCCATTTTGACTTCTTGAATGATTCATATTTCTTTTAGTCGGATAAATCAATTGGAAAAGTGAATTTCAAGATAAACTTATTATAATAATATATATATTATATACTAATATTAATATTAGTATATAATATAATAATTATTATATAATATTAATATTAATATTATGATCATATCATATTATGATAACAAGTTTAGCTTGAAATAGATATTTCCAATGGATTTATCTGAACAAAAGAAATAGGAACCATTCAAAAAGTCGAAATGGATTTATCTGGTTTAGTCTGATTGCTTCTTAATTATGGCCTTTTAAACCAAGTTTTTGTGTATTTTTTAAGGTGTTAAAATAAATATTTCGACAGATTAAATTATTTTGAAAAATGAAATCCATATTCTAAAAGCGCATGCGCAAAAAATAAAAAGTTCACGCGTGATGGCAAATTGAGCATCAATTGAGGACTCATCTGTCGCGTTATATGAATTCACGCGTGAATTTAATTTTCACGCGTGAATTCGTAGTGAATTCATAGTGAATTCATTTTGCTATCTGGGAGGAAACTTTTTTTGGTACCCCTAAATTGAATTCAAAAAATAATTTTTTCGGCCCACCCTAATGTTCAACCCTCTAGGAATAGTTTTAAAAAAATTATCCTCTTAGGCTCCTATTCAGGGGGCCGTAGCTCCTTTAGGGAGCATTTTTTGATACATGTTTATTAAACAAAAAAGTGTTATTTTTATACGAATAATGCACTGTTTAAGTTTGGCCCCCTAATTTCGGGACACCCGTATAATGATAATTGTACCAAAAATGTTAAAAAAACGCGAAAATTCGATGGAAATCAAACTTTGGCCTCGAATAACTCTGAAAGGAATCAATTTATAGAAAAATGTTAGGAGACCTTTTTTGTAGAGCGTTAAATTTACTATGAAAATCTAAGATGATCCTTGACATAAGTTGATTCGATTCAGACGTATAAAATTTCAAAGTTAAAAAAAAAAAATCCCCATGTTATTTAAATGAGAAATAGAAAATTGCGATCCGAGACCTCTAAATCTTCAAATTAAAAGCTCAAATTTTGACGAGGTCTTTGTGTTGACATCCTCTGAAAGAATTTGCCGACCATTTAAAGAAAAAGAAAAAGTCGATTTTTTTGAAACACCCTAATACATATCGCACATGGGCGACAACAGTGTCATAAGTAGTAAAACGATAATTCCGATATAAGTTAAACTTATATCGGAATTTTCGTTTTACTACTTATGACACTGTTGTCGCCCATGTGCGATATGTATGTATATTAGACTGGTCCAAAAAAATCGACTATTTTTTTTGTAAAGTATATCGAAAATATTGTTTGGGGTGACAAAAAAAAATTATGGTGAAAGTTTGAGTCCATAATATTAATATTAAGATGTCATATCATTGCAATTTTTTTCCTGAGTGAGTTTTGGTCTTAGAACTCCCAAACCATTGAGTTTAACAAATTTAACTTAAGAATATTTTTTATGAAAATTGAATGCTCTACAAAAGGTTTGATTGGAATTTCCCGTCAGATGAACCGTTTTCTTACAATCATGCCTTAAAAATTTATATAGTTTTACAATTTGATCTTTTAACTTTGGAATTTTGTAATTCATGTAAAAATCAGTACCCGGAAAAAAACCGATACATATTCTTATGGGAAATCAAATTCTCTACAAAAAAAGTCTTTTATCATTTTTGGCTAAATTCACTCCATCAAAAGTTATTCAAGGTTAAATTTGAAGTCAAAATAAAATTTTGACCTTGAATAACTTTTGATTGACTGAATTTAGCTAAAAATGTTGGCAGGCTTTTTTTTAAAGCATTTGATTTCCCATAAGAATATTTATTGGTTTTTTATGGATACTGATTTTTACATGAATTACAAAATTTCAATTCCAAGATCAAAATGTAAAACTATACCAATATTTAAGGCATGATTTTAAGGAAATGGTTCATCTGACGGAAAATTTCACTTTAACCCTTTTTGTAGAGAATTTAATTTTCTTAAAAACATATTTTGAGTCAATTTTGTTAAACTCAATGGTTTGGGAGTTCTGAGACAAAAACTTGTTGAGGAAAAAAAAATTAAAATTGCGATGATAGACCTCTTAATAATAATATTTTGGACTCAAACTTTCCCAATATTTTTTTTTGTCACCCCAAACCATATTTTCGATATACTTTAAAAAAAAAATAGTTGATTTTTTTGGCCCAGTCTAATGTACATATATACAGCAACTGTAGAAATAGGAGGTCAAAATAGGTCAATGAACACAAATATATTTGTCAAATATTATTTGATACATTGAATAGTTTTCCAAATATAACAAATTTTCAAAAATCAGATCTCACATTTATCGCCCTATATACTGTTTATTATTAACATTTTACTAAGACATATTTGTGTTAATCAACCTATTTTGACCTCCCATTTCTACAGTTGCTGTATTATCCATTTACATTTTTAAATTTAATTTAATTACTATACCATTTCCTATACCTTATGTAAATAGTTTTCGAGTTAATTTTTTTCGTTAAAATTTCAGAAATGCGCTTCAATCAAAAATAGGTTTGCAAATATAAGCTTGGAATTTTTGGGATCTTAAAACATTGTTTAAAAGATTCCATGTCAATTTTTTAACATTTTTTAACAAATTACCTGAACAAAACCAGGGCAAATTAGGCCAACTTGAAAGGTTAATAACTTTTTTATTTCAAACGTAACACCCGGTATGTTTTTACATAATCAAATAGTTTAAAAATTAAAAAACCTTTCGATTGATGATACTATTCCCTATACCTAAAGTTAATAATTTCAGAGATATTTAACAATTTCTAAAATTTTAAATATGTTTTCGTATCAATAAACCTGTGACGGGTGAGTTGACGGTATCTATGGTTACCACGTAATACTGTCATTTTTCAAAATTTAATGACGTCAATTTTTTTGTTATAAACAATTGGTTTACTAATTAAATTTTTTGTAAACAAAATTACCCACTGATAAAATTTAGCAAGAAGAGCAACGTCTTATGTAAAAGCAAGAATTAAGAAATGCTTGAATGTAAGTGGAGGACACTTTAAACATTTAGTAATAAAAATTGTTAGTTAAAATATCGTTCGTTTATTAAATTGTTACAGTTACGCATTTTTTTGTTATTAAAATATTTCATTAAATAAATTTCATATTTTATTGTCTCCAATGAGCTAGTGCTTTAGCTAGTTGTCACTGACTGCAATTTTTTATCAGTACAAAACACTTAGGGCCGTATGCAGAAACGTTGATTTATTTATACAAACTGATTTAGCATCAGTGGATATAGGTTTTTGCACGACATGGCAACGTAGTCACTTTCTTTAAAAACTGTTGTTTTATAAAATAAATTGGGTAATTATCTTTCAACGTTTATATTTTCCCTAAAAAGTCGATTTCTATAAATTGACATTTTAAATTAAACATAAAAGAATTAAAATTTCATCAAGATTTATTTGACATTTGCTTTTAAGAAAATAATTTCGCTAATATAAGTCATGGTTTACTAGATTTGTTTTTTGACCAATAAAATCATCTAAAATGTAAATTAGTTGAAATAATTTATATCAGTCGTTAACCAGGGCTGGATGCTCCCGTGTACGAGTTTTGGTTCGTCCCGCGCATGACGTCACTTGATGAGTAGTTGCCGTGCGAATACACGAATAATAGTAATATTATCAAATAAAATAGAGAAATTTCTGGACATAGTGCGTTTTTATTAAACTTAATATTGAAGAAATAATAAATGCTTTCAGTCCTTGATAACATTTAGGGCTGTAGTTTAAGCGTTGGTGTTTTAAATTAAACTTATAGTCACTGTCCAGAAAATGTTTATAGGAAACAGAAGCGGTCTTAACGTAAATATTGTCTATTATTTTTGTGGCATTTAAACACTGTTTCCACAAATCAAAGTTTTTCGGGAATCGATTAAATTTAATGTTTTTATTTAAAGGGTTTTTCTTGGACTGGTTGTCCGAATTGCATCCAAATATGTCACACCGCATTTTAATAAATGCATATGGCACTATACAATCTAAAACACAAACAAAACAAGTTAACGCAACACAAAAACAATAATAAACAAACCTAACAGGTTAACCTAACGCAATAACAATAATTTGAACGCTGAAAAGTAATTCGAATCTTACCGAACACAAAAACGACAAGTTAAACAAAAAGTAGAGCAAGTTAACATCCAAAAGCATCGCAAAAACAAGAATTTTAGCAGCAGATAATTAAAATGCACGTTAAAGATTTAAAAACACTCATCAAGTGACGTCATTAAGCCCCGCCCAACATGCGCACCATCCTATCTTAAGGTGTGTATCTTGGTCGTTAACGACTGATTTAAAATATGGATAAAAATAGACAGTATTTTTGTTTGTAAATATTTATGAAAAAATAAATTCAGAAGGTAAACATACCTATAACAAAGATATAATTAAAAAATAACATTTTTTTAAAGATAAAATTACTACCAGGTTAATTATATCAAATTATATTGGCTGTATTTTGGTTTAATTGTAAAATAATTAGGTACCCCTAACATTGAACTTGGGTGAAATTATTTATTGATTAACTTTTTTGTTATTAAAAACATACATACCTTCCATAAATGTTTACTTTTTAATATAATACCTAGATAATTAAAAAAAATACCATTTAATAAATAATAATAAGGATTATAAAATAAAACAAAAATTGTGTTTAAAAAATATTTGTCTTATTTTTTAAATACTTTTGAAGAATTTTAAATTTTAGACCATGTTCAACTTATTTTTTCTTTTAAATTTTTAAATTATGTGCTTGCTCTTCAAATAGAAACAGTAGGTAGAGGGGACTTTTTTTGTGAGGAAATTTACACTCTATTTATTTTTCGGCTCAGAAATATAGGTAGGTACTATTAAACATAAAAGAAAATGAAATTGAGGTACAAAAACATAGGTAAATATTTAAAATTGAATATACATATTTTAATATTATCAACAGTTTTTGCCAGTAATACAATTTAAAAAGGCATTTCATAAGAAAATAAAAAAACACTCTTTAGGTAAAAACAATTGTTTTTGCTCAAAAGCAAAAACAGGCACAGTGTATGAAAATATATTTTTATATTTTTGGTTCAAATTATTTGTAATATTTATTTGACAAATAATTAAAAATATGCTCTGAAACAATATTTTTATTTTTAAAATAAAATACACAGGGTAAAAAAATCTGGACTGGAACTGGAACAGTTAAATTTTAAAATTTTATTTAATAAAATAACAGTTTTTAAAATTTGTGTACCTATATTTTTCAATATAAATTATTTAAAAACAAAGTATACAAGGCATGCATAATTTTTTTCATTGAGTTTAATTTAACCTTTTAGAAAAGCAGGGGTTCTTGCCCCATTTCCAGCAAGGGTGTAGCCAGGATTTTGTTCAGGGGGGCAGGCAAGGGTAACTACCCTAGTAGAAATTTTACGTAGAAACAACGTTTTTCCCACGTTGGCAAAACCTAACTTTTATGTATAATTTTATGTTGAAATGTCCCGGTTTATAACGTTATCTGACAACGTTAGTTTTTAATGTTATAAAAAACGTGGGATTTACGTATTATAAAACGTTGCAAATACGTGGGTTTTGTGTATTATACAACGTTGCTTTTATGTATTATAAAACGTTGCAAATACGTGGGATTTGTGTATTATACAACGTGGGAAATATGTGGGTTTTGTGTATTATAAAACGTTGGAAATACGTGGGATTATTGTATCATAAAACGTTGGATTTTTTTATAAATTTGGGTAGGATTTTTCTTTATTATTGGAAAATTTAATATATATTTAAAAACAACAAAAATTTATTGTACAAAAAAAATACTTTGGAAAAAAAATTCCCAATTAACAAAATCTAAAAAATATTATCTAATAATATTATACTTAAAGTAAACAAATTAAATTATAACAAAATAGCTTTAACAAAAAATTTACAATGGTATTTTAAAAAGAAAAAATATTGCCTATATATATAACAATTTTCTATACAAGATACTACAACTTTTAAATCAATATTAAAATTAATTAAAAATTCCCAATTAACAAAATCTAAAAAATATTATTAATATAATATTATATACTTAAAGTAAACAAATAAAAATATAACAAAATAGCTTGGACAAAAAATTTTCAATGGTATTTTGAAAAGAAAAACTATTGCCTATATTCATATAGGTATTATTATTATGTTGAATAAAAATTTAGAGCACAAGCATTAAAAGGAAAAAATACAAGCAAAAATAGTATTTTTGCCTATATTTTTGTATACACTTGAAAGTTTTAAAATTGATTTTGTATAGTATACAAATTTATTTATTAAATGCAAAAGATTGTGACCTAAAATTGATTTACATATGGATATAATTTATTAATATAAAAATTATTAAGAACCTTTGATTGTTAAAAAAAATCTAATAGATTTGGCTGGTAACCAACACACAATGTTAAATGATCTCCTCCAGTGTCAGCAAACATTAGAAAAGTTGAAAAATAGTTTAATATTCTGAGTTTCCTTTTTTCACAACATTTTGTTGTTTCCCTGGGTAACCAGGTGCTGGCAAAGCATCCCTTATTTCCTTTACTTCTGAAAAAATATTGGTTTATCACATCATCATGAACTTCTGATCTGGATCTTTTTAGATTTTTAGCATTCCTTTGAGTAATCACAATTTTTGCCTCCGGAAAGAATTTAGCCAGTCATTGCCAGGAAGGTTTTCTTTAAAACAACTAATTATCACTGCTTTGTGGTTTAGATATGACTGCACTCTTTTGTCTCTTGTCTTGCAAAAGATTATCCATTATCCGCAGATCATCTGTGGCAGATGTAATCATTACACTTGCAATCTACCCAAAGGATAGACGATTGTTTATCACCTCTGCCACGGCCAATTCAATATTTTCTGGGTGATAATTTCTTTGATACACTGTTCCAGGAACATGTTTATGCTTTTAAGGCATCGTCACAGAACAAAACTTATTTTACATAAGGCATCGTCCAAATAACCCTAAAAATCCATGCAAAAAGCAACTGTTTAAAAAAAACACTAACAAATTGTTTGTGGTGATTGTTTAGGTTACTAAAAGTTATTTGCCATCCCTATCAGATAAAAATTACCTTATCTTTTAATTATTTTTCCAAAAAACACGGAAGAATTTGCACAAAATTTCGCACGATGTCAACACTTAACCTAAAATAAAGAAATAAACACTTCGTGATAGAGCGGTAAATTTGAATTTTTCTTCGTTTGTTCCGTGTAACCCATAGAAATAATACCACAGAATTTTGTGATAATACTATGGTGTAACCTCTGTTGTTCCATCACCTAACTTAGTTAGGCTAACTACGATAGTAAACCTTTATTGAAACTATAATAATTTTAGGTATCTAAAAGTAGGTTTTGTGTATTTCGGCCTTATTTTTAAAACTATGACTTTAAAAATTATATTGCATAGTTAAATTTGATTTTACTTTTATAACTAATGTTACAAAGACTAAAAATTTTAAAAAAATCCACATTAAAAATTTTCTCGACGGGACTTAAAATAATTTTATGTTGCTAAATGTGTGTTTTGGAACGTTGCTGCAACGTTTCTAGCATACAATTTTACAACGTAGTTTGAAAGTGGGTTTTGTGTATTTCGCTCATATTTTTGATATTATGACTTTGAAAATGTGTTGAAGGGTTTTATTTTACTTTTATAAGTAATGTATAATAAAAAAAAATTGAAAAAAAAATCCCCAGTAAAAAAATTTTCGTCGGGACTTTGAAAAAATTTTATGTAGCCAAACGTGGGTTTTGGAACGTTGTTGCAACGTTTCCAGCAATACAATTCTGCAACGTTGTTTGAAAGTGGGTTTTGTGTATTTCGCTCATATTTTTGATATTATGACTTTGAAAATGTGTTGAAGGGTTTTATTTTACTTTTATAAGTATAGTATAATAAAAAAAATTGAAAAAAAAATCCTCAGTAAAAAAATTTTCGTCGGGACTTTGAAAAAATTTTATGTAGCCAAACGTGGGTTTTGGAACGTTGTTGCAACGTTTCCAGCAATACAATTCTGCAACGTTGTTTGAAAGTGGGTTTTGTGTATTTCGCTCATATTTTTGATATTATGACTTTGAAAATGTGTTGAAGGGTTTTATTTTACTTTTATAAGTAATGTATAATAAAAAAAAATTGAAAAAAAAATCCCCAGTAAAAAAATTTTCGTCGGGACTTTGAAAAATTTTTATGTAGCCAAACGTGGGTTTTGGAACGTTGTTGCAACGTTTCCAGCAATACAATTCTGCAACGTTGTTTGAAAGTGGGTTTTGTGTATTTCGCTCATATTTTTGATATTATGACTTTGAAAATGTGTTGAAGGGTTTTATTTTACTTTTATAAGTAATGTATAATAAAAAAAAATTGAAAAAAAAATCCCCAGTAAAAAAATTTTCGTCGGGACTTTGAAAAAATTTTATGTAGCCAAACGTGGGTTTTGGAACGTTGTTGAAACGTTTCCAGCAATACAATTCTGCAACGTTGTTTGAAAGTGGGTTTTGTGTATTTCGCTCATATTTTTGATATTATGACTTTGAAAATGTGTTGAAGGGTTTTATTTTACTTTTATAAGTAATGTATAATAAAAAAAAATTGAAAAAAAAATCCCCAGTAAAAAAATTTTCGTCGGGACTTTGAAAAAATTTTATGTAGCCAAACGTGGGTTTTGGAACGTTGTTGCAACGTTTCCAGCAATACAATTCTGCAACGTTGTTTGAAAGTGGGTTTTGTGTATTTCGCTCATATTTTTGATATTATGACTTTGAAAATGTGTTGAAGGGTTTTATTTTACTTTTATAAGTAATGTATAATAAAAAAAAATTGAAAAAAAAATCCTCAGTAAAAAAATTTTCGTCGGGACTTTGAAAAAATTTTATGTAGCCAAACGTGGGTTTTGGAACGTTGTTGCAACGTTTCCAG